AAATTATCCAGTGGTTTATGAGGTAGTTTGAATACAAGAAGACATGTTAAAACACACACACACAGCTTTCTTGGCAGCAGTCACTGATTAAATGGGAAATAAGTGTATTCAGAGATTTGCTGTATTTACCTTTTGTGCTCGATCAACGTGATTGGTGATTTCAACAAGTTTGTCACCATGGCTACTTGTTATATTCCTCCAGCCTGTGCACTTCTCCATCTGGATATCAGTCTTTGGAAGTCCTGAGCTGGTACACAAAAARAGACAACATCAAACAAAGAAAAAATTACAAAACTGTGCAATCAGCTGCAACCTCGCTTTCCCCTCCTCTTTTGAATCTATTAGATAAAGGATTAAATGTTACATGAACTGAAGTAAAAATCTAAAACCATTATGCCCTGGTAGAAACTTAATATTTCTGTATGTTAAACCTTCATACTTTTTATTTTTTATTGTCTTATTATTTTTAGGTGAAACCCACACAAATCTGTGTTCTTTTAAAGGAGGTGGGGGAATTCTGTATTTTCCAGGCACATAGTTAATTCTGTATCACAATTATGTAACTATGTTACCTTCAGTTGTTATGAAAATGCTGTATATATCAAAACTAAATTTGATTTTGCAACACAGCTTGTTTTCCRGTGTGGCTCCTCTCCCAGTTTACCCACCAGGACACTGATGGGTCTTGGAGAGGAGACAATGTCTCCTTCTTGGTTTGTTAGATATTTGGAAACATTGAAAGTGACAGAGTTAATCATGCTGCCATTGGTCCTTTAGTAAGCAGTTCAGAGCATTGATATATATTACTGGATTGGGCTTGGTTAGCGCGTTGCTAGCTACATTGACGTGCACACACTGGAGCTCTGTTCTGCATTGAGGAGCCTCAACAAAATGAATGGAGGTCAATGGACTGTGAGGTGTCTTCCTAATGAAAAACTCTTATAACTTCCTTATTCCTTGCTCGATTTTTACAAACTATGGTTCAAAATAAAGCTGAGGAAGTTGTGAATTTGATAGTTATGGAAATTTAAAATAGATAACTGTCGCGGAAAGAATGTCAGTATTCAACAACAATAACTAATTTAATTGACTAAAACAGTGGCTTTAAATGAGTATTTTGCATTTCACAGGTGTTTTTTCATACAAATCAATGAGTTCTGACCAGCTGGATATTCATACATATATTTATTAATCAGAACTGAGTCTTAGACACACAGCGGGTAAAATAAGTATTGAACACATCAACATTTTTCTCAGTAAATATATTACTAGAGG